AAATATTTATAATTGATATGTTTTGTTAATGGATATACCTTCCAATCATTGCTTATCATAAGCTTCTAACTTGGGCAATCTAGCTTCAATATAAAGTATGGCTACAATTCTTCTATTTATGCCTTAATGAACTTTGGTGGTGTTTTATTTACAAGCTTAAAAGATAAAGATCAGACTTATATTGTTAATTAGTACTCTCATTCTTTGCTTCTAACATGTGCATACACAATATAATAGTGTAGAAAAGTAGCTAACTAGGGATCTTTCTTTTCATCCTCCTGCTTCTTTTTCCGAGATATCAATTACTTTAGATATATAAAATTACTAAGAAATTTGTAAAGTAATTGGCCAAAGCTAAAAACTATACAGAGAAATACTATAAAATTATGGCTCCTACCTACATAAACTATCCACCACCATAATATTGACTGGCAAAGAAAAGAATATATCAAGGGAAGAAACCACATAACAGTTGCTCAGATCTAAAAGTACACAAAGCATATAGTGAAGAGACAACTCCAATCCAAACACATAGTGAAGATGAAGGTTGACAGCCTAAGGATACAATAACACCATATGAAGTTCAGGATTAAATCTAGGAATAATCATACTGTTGAAACTAAAATCTAATTTAAATCAGTAGTTCACTTAAAAAAATCCCTTCTTCCCTTGTCAAGTTATCTTTTGAAAGTTTTTAGCTAATAGGAATTTCATCAAACACATTGTACTCCTCACTGAAAAATCATTTTTTTGGGAATTCCCAGAACTAAGAAATTCTTTTCATCAAACAACAAAACAGGCTTTGCACGGCGAAAAAATTCAACAGAACTAATAAATTCTTTTCATAGAAAAAATTCAAATATCAAAACAAAAGTTAGAGAGATTACCTTTGCAGAACACCGATTATAGAGAGAAGATGCCAGAGACAGCTGTGAAAGAGGGGAAACCATCGGAGACGAGAAACTGACGGGCAGAGGAAGCCATGGGAGACGACGAGGAGAGGAAGCCATCGAAAAGTGATTAAATGGAGGGTTTACTGATGAAAAGGGGTCTTATATGAAGCAAATTTTAATAATTAACAGTTTTAACACACAAATACTTATTTGTCTCATAGAGGTTCCTCCTTCAACAATTTCTTTAGTGATCTTGCTATTGAGGACCTTCTTATTTTCCTATTTTGAGAATCAACTTTTGGTTGTTTTCTATTTTTCAATTTTTTTAAAAATAATTAGTCCAATTTTTTTATTTAACATATTTACAACTAAATCAGATGTTAAATTTTGTAATTTTAAGTTTTTTTACCTTTAATTTTAAATAAAAAATAATTTTTTAATAAGTATATTAAAGTAAAAAGTATCTATATCTATATCCATTCTCCTTTTCCTTTTCCAAAAAATGATTTTCTTTTTCAAATGCCAAACAAAATGTTTACCCCTTTCCACTTTCATTAATTAGAAAATAGAGATGGAAAATAGTCCTATTTTCTAATGCCTTTTGAATATTTTGAAATGAAGAAAGTTCTACATCTAGGAAAAATAAAGAAATAAATGGATTTATATATGTTCACCCTCTATCCTCTATCCTTAAATAATTATGGAAAGTTAAAACTCTTGACCAGTAAAAATTGGGTTTAGGCCAAACCCTTTTATATTATCATTTAAATAGCACTTGAGGCTTTGACCTATTAGAAGAAAATTGATTTTTTAATTAATTTCAAATTTTTAATTTTGTTTTTTTGAAATTGAAAAGATGTGTATGAAATTTAGACAACTTTTGACAGCTACAAGATACCTTTTTATAATGATATCTTTCTCTAGGGATACAATCCTTTGACAGTTATTTTTCTACAAAGACATCCTTTCAATTGGTGTTCATTTGGCCAATATAGATTTCTTTAAATAGAGTTCATGTTTCATACCTAATTTTAAGAGATTTTTTAATTGTATTATGTTTTGGAGGATTTTTGAATTTTTGAGAAAGGCGATATCATGTCACAAAGCTTTCTAATGCTTCTGTTTTCTTCTTATCTTTTTCTAACAACCATCCAACAGCTGCTTCGGCATTACTCTTAATTAAGGCCAAATACTGATTAACAATGCGCAGAGACTTATTTTGTTAATTCCATTACTCTCATTCTTTGCTTCAACATATGCAAAGGTTACGGTATGGAAAAGTAAGTAATTGGAGATCTTTCTTTTGATCCTCCTATTTCTTACCCAAGATATTTAACTTTTATATATTAGATTGGTTTAAGTACCATTTTAGTCCCTCAACTTATCACTTTGATACCAAAATTGTCCCTCAGCTTTAAAAAGTACTAAAATTATCCTTCAACTTTTATTTTTGGTACCAAAATGGTCCTTCCGTCAGTTAAACGCCAGGTGGCTTGTTAAGATGCCACAAAATCACCGGCTTTTTTCATTTTTAATGACGTGTAAATCCAGCAAGGGCATTTTTGACACTGTGGCATTTTTACATGTCAGATTGCTTCCCCACTTTTTGTGGGGCCCACATGAAAAAAAAAACAAATTGTTTTCTTTTTTCCACGTCAAATAAAAATGAATTTATAAATT